CCCACGGTGCGAATTTGTGCAAGCAGTCGGATTCCCGCCAGTACGCTATGCCATGGAGTGGGCTGAGAACAAAAAGTGACGGAGTAGTGGAGTAGTGGAGTAGTGGAGTAGTGGAGTAGTGGAGTAGTGGAGTAGTGGAGTAGTGGAGTAGTGGTGGGGGGGAGGGTTGTTTTTAAGGCGGGGGATTGATAACCTTTGAATTATCATATGGCTGTGGGTCAAAACCAATGGTGTGCTGGGGGGTAGGGTCTGGTAGTTTACTCCGGTTTGGGTGTGGCTCAAAACTTGGAATCGGCAACCAAAACGGGTTGCCCTGGCAAATGGCAAATGTAGACTCAAACCTGAGGTCCCTCATTTTCGAGCCACGCCCATTGTGCCACTCCTGCCAGCTAGCCAAACCACCAACCAAGAAGAATGGGGATCAGGAATCAACCAACAAGAAACGGTTCCAGTTTATCATACTTGGCTAGTTAAGCCACTTGGAGAGTAGGTCGCGCCAAGTTATGACTTCCTCAATAATCCTTTTGATATCACATGCTCACGGGACGTGGGCAAGAAACATCCAAGCCTAGCTGGCCGGCAACCAAGCAAGCAAGCAACCAACCAACCAGCCAGCCAGCCAGCCAAATGGCCGCCCAAAATCAAGATGGCCAACCACAAAGAAAGGCGTCCAACTCAACTTGCCGCCAGCTCTTCCGAGGTCAATGCAGCCCATGCAGATGCAGCCCATGCCGATGCAGCCGATGCAGATGCAGCCCGGGCCGATGCAGTCCGGGAGCTCTTCGCCCAAGTACTACCAGTCGGGCTACCAGGCACACCATGTGGGGACTTCCCTGTCATGGGGGGCTGGGGGAGGGATGGGGGGGAGGGAGCCCCGTAGTAGGGGTCTAAAAAGGGCTTAGCCCCCATGACCCTGCAAATTGACATTCCGCATAATGTATGGCGAGCTGGTGGTAAAACGAGCTCGCCGTGGTAAAGATGCTTTTGGACCCCCCAAAAAAAAGAGAAAAGAAGAAGAGACAAAAACAAAACAAAACCTGTAGTTTGCCTTTTGGTTTCCCTTTAAACCCTGCCAAAACGGGATAGCATCACATGTTGTTGAGCAGGAGTGTATGGTGTGCATGTTCGCCAAACAGCTTCGCGCATTGGGGTTCTAACTTGAGGTTTAGAAAGGCCACTGGGACGTCGTTGTCCAGTGTTGCTTTTTCGCTGTTTGGGGGTTGAGGCTGGTGTAATTTGAGGCTCGGTACTTTCTTTTCTTTTTTTTGGGGGGGTTGGCGTTGAATCAACGGGAAACCAAAAGGAACGCCGAAATCAATTTTGAGGTCCCCCAAAAAGAGCTACCCATGTTGTCGTTGCAGCGGGTTAACCCCTGGTGGGAGAGTCACAAGAAGCTGTGCATCGTTTTGACGAGTTTCTTGTGCTATGCCTTTTGACCCTGTGACTTGTGGTTTCCACATCTCGCCCTTTGTCGCAGCTCATCTTTCGTATAAGTATTTAGTCCTAAAAATCCTGATGAGCGACATTAAATAGAAAGGAACGTGAGTCAGAGAGATGGGGCCCTTGTCTGTCAAGCTCCATCACATCATTCTTACGTCTGGAGTTCCTGTTACTATGAAAGACTCACGATGGAACGCCTCGCCCATCTCTGCTTTGTGGAATTGGGAAGAGATAGATGGGTGAGAGCTATTCCTTTCCCATCCATGATCTCAGATGTAGAAAGTGATAGGAGGTGGGAAAGGAGAGTGACACCTTAATGTCGACTTCATATTAGTAAAGGGCCCTCGACTTTTTTTGGACCAAGTTCCGAAACAAGAAAATAGTGGTTGTAGCCTTTTTTGTAGCACTTGTAGTAGCACTTGTGGCACTTGCGGTGCCATTGTAGCAACTGTCGCGCTGCTTGTGGTACTCGTAGCAGCACTTGCGCGAGTTCTTGTAGTACCTGGTGGTACCTCGTAGTAGTACTGCTTGTAGTGCTTGTAGTGCTTGTAGTACTGCTTGTAGTACTTGCTGTGTTGCTTGTAGCAATGGTCGTACTGCTTGTAGCGGAAACCACGCTGTAACCGTGCAACCTTCTGAGCCTTCAAAGCTTCAGATTTCAGATCCAACAAATAGAGGAGATGCCCAGGAAAGTGTTTTTTTAAAGGTAGCCCCTTTCAAAAAACGATGCTCCACTGAGGTACCCCACACAAAGCCCCCAAAACCAGAATAGTAAAGGACTCAATTTGTGATGAATGTATTTTTTGGGCGGGGGGCTGCTGGGTGTTAACCAATATGAACCACTGGGGGGGTTACGCTTCTTACCCCCTCTTTTCCTTTTTTCAGGGTGCCAAAGGGACACCAACTATTTTGGGCGTGCTCCCATCAAGCCACCCCTTGGCTTAGGGTTAGTCATACGCCGACTCAGACACCAAGGGAGCCATAGCGTCGGACAGATAGATACGTGGCCTGGAAACGATCTTTGGAAAGGGGGACCCCCCCCCACAAAGGAGGAAAACAATCCTGGTAGACTACTTTTGCAGGCGAGTCTTTTTGGGGGGAAGTGGTCCCCGGAAAGGAAGAAGCGCCGGGCGAGTCCAGAATCAACCGTCGGTAGATTTCTGGCGTTCTGCGCAGAGATCACATAGTTCCGGCCGTGCACGTGCTGGAAAACTGGCGCCCCCGAGAAACAAGGGCGACTTTGGGCGAGAAGTGCGCAGTCACGCGCGCGGCCGAAGCTTTTCTTTGTGCGGGATGTGTTTCCAGCTTTGCGCGGGACCCGGTTCGTGTACTTGGCTGACTTTCTGCTTGTCAAGTTTTATTTGTTGTCAGGACGGTCATGTGGGTATGCTCTATTTTTATTTTGCTACCTTCCCCATTCTTTCCAGGGATCCTTCTTTCTAGAAAACCACCAAAAACCCTGGAAAAACAGCTGGTTTTTGAAAAGAACGATGGTTGGAAAGAATGCGGAATCAACCCTATAGTTTTGAGGGTGCCCCGTTTTTGTGGTTTAAAAGGGAGGCCAAAAGGACATCCACTACTCATATTGGTGACTTGGCCCAGGCAGTCGGAGGTTCTTGGGCCATGGCTCCCAACTTTGGGACCTGCGACATAGCAGTAGAGAGAGAGAGAGAGAGAGAGAGAAGGAGAGACTCAGTTGCCCAAAGTGAATCCACCTACGGACCTTTTCACTTTTTGGCGGCCCCGCAAGGATCGTGGCTCCCAACTTTGGGACCAGGATGGCGCGCTCGGGTCGACCTTTTGACTTTTCGGCCAACCAGTTTGGTTGATTTTTGACCCCAAAAGGGTGATCACCTTTCAGTTCCAGGTTCTTTGCACAAGTGAAGGAAGAGAGAAGAGAAGCAGGTGGTGCAGCCGCAGCCCGCAAGCCCCACCGGCCAGTACTACTATCGCTGAGCTGCTCATCCCGACCGCTGAGTGCGGGATGCGAGATGCCGAGAGGCACAGGGTCCTCTGACAGCATGGACTTTAAGCTTTTGGGAATATCATGTCGGTGGCAAAGAACAAGTTGTGAGGCCGATGCAAAAGCAAACTTAGGAGCCAGGGGCTGATCGATCCTGGGTTCCCATTCGCCACCAAGATGCATGTTTAATAATGACACAAAAAGGCAAGAAGGAGCCTGGGCCTAAAGGGAATGCGGATGCGCCTGCTACGCCTTCGGAGGCTTTGCCGCTTGACCTGACATGATGTTTGCTTCAACCATTTCAAAAGTGACCCCCGGTTTCCAAAGCGAGACCATTTGCAAGGGGCTGTTCTGTCAGCCCCCCCGTGCACGTTGAGGATTTGGTCCAGAGGCAAGCTTCCGATCGCCGGATCTCCGGGCCGCCGTGGATCGCCGAGGCGGCTTGTGGACTTAGGCTGGGGCCTGAGGTTCGGGGAACCCAAGGGAGCAATGGCCCCAGCCGAAGGCAAAGAGGCGACGCCCGCGAAAGCCCCTGCGAAGGGGGTTTCCGCTCGCCGGGTTTTCGGCGAAGTGGGGCGACGGCCACAGAGGCTCCAGGAGAGAAATTGCTCATTCGTGTGCGCAAAAAATTGGAACCTGGCCCTTGGGCCCTGAAAAGAGACCAATTTGAGAACCAATGGTGGCTGGGTGTTCAGGCGTCTTGGTGTTGCACATGTGCAGCTGGAGCCTCTTGGGCGGCGACATACAGATCTCCAGACAAGAGAGACACTTGGCCCTTCGCCAGAAAGGTTCGCACGAAGGTTCTGAGAACCTTTCCCGGTGGCCTTGGTCCCTTTGTGTCTGTATTGAAAACCAATGACTCAAGCTGCGACTTCGGAGAAAAAGAAGCGACGCGACGGTTTCACCCGTTTTGTGGGGTGGAATTTTCCGGAAGGTTTACCATACACAAAGGAAGTGTTGTTTCCTCAACAGTGATGTGGATTCCCTCTTAAAAGGGGCGCCCGCAACGTGAGCAAGTACGGGAGAATGGCTCCTTAGCTTACGTTGGAGGGCCTCCCTTCATTTCCAAAGAGCACGACATGCAAACTTTGGGCCTTTGGGGCTGATCGGCGACTTTTCCTTTCCGGGACATGCCACCCCGGGTCATCAACCTCTGAACCTACAACGCCCGGTGATATTATAAAGATAATCGCTCACGATCGTGGCTTCTCCTCAGAATCTCCGAGACGGGCGTGTTTGTTTCTTTTTTAAGGAGCCATTTTTGAGGTTGGTTTGAAGGGAAACCGGGTTCCAGATGGGGACCAAGCAAACTACAGGGCACTTTGATGAGGACCTAAGACAAGGAAGGGCGCAGGCTGGGTCTAAGTCTTGACAGGGCCTTAGTCATGGCCCCAAAAGGTCCTAAGCAGGGTTGTGGGATCAAGGGGTTAATCTGATACAAGGGAATCTCCCCCTTTATATGGGTGGTTAGTCTCTGGGAAGCCCTTTTTGTTGTATCACAGAGGTCATTTCCCACAGCCCTGGTCCTAAGTGAAGGTTCGGGATATCTTAGCTTAAGTCTTCGTGCCGTCCAGACCATCCGAGAAGAATCCGGCAGGCTGGGTGGCTGTCTCCGCGTCCGCGTGCAGGTGGCCTGGAAAGGGCGCGCGCTGGCTCCAAGAATGTTGCACGGTTTGGGCTAGGCTAAATTGTTTGGTGTACCGTAATGTGGGCCACAACCAAGTCAACAAATGCCCACCAAAGCAAATGTTTCTGCTTAGTTTATGTGTTTCGAGTTGCTTTTTGAAATCTCGAGCCTATGATGCAGGCCGGGATCCCTCGCATTCAGATGAGTTTACTTTAAACACGCTTCTGGTTGGCGGGGACCGGGGGGCGGGGGGGGACAGCCAGCACTAGGCACTACTGTGGATGGACGAACTCCATTTCGCGAAGCCGAGTTGATGCAGACGAGTGGGGAAATTCTTAGAGCAACCTTGGTTCAAACTTCGCTTGTTGCCACTTCCCGTGGTGGTATCCAAAATGATGTTCAATTCTTGGTGCCGCCCCTTGGTTTTTAAGTGAGGGCTTGTGTTTTTGTTTTTGTTTTTGAAATCGGGACCAAGAACCGCATGCCTCCTTTTCCTTCCCATTTTCAGCCATCCAGCCGCTGTTTTCCGCCTTTCTGAGAGCCCTCCGGCGACAGCTACGGGTCACAGGCCACCACCGGAACCGCCAAAAAGGCGCAGAGCGCAGTGCCTGGGCCCCAGGAAAAAGAATCGCTTCCCCTGGTGCGAGAAAACTCCCTCCGGACCGGAGCTCTGGAGGAAAGGGTCACCGTTTCATATACGCGTCCTTCTCGGTTGGTTTGCTTGGGACCTGGTTTACCTGGTGGCTCATTTTGGTTGGTTTGCTTGGGCGATAAAGGGCGATTCCTGGTTTGCCTGGTGGTTCAATCATCTACCAGGGAAATCCATCTATTTTTCAAGACCACCTAGGTCACTTTTTCGTTTAAAACAGTTTGAGTGGCCAAAAACAGTGGGTGGGCCTTCGTCACTTTCTGGTTGAACAGAAGTTTAGTGGCGAAGATAAAGTTTGTGGACTTTTTGTGGCCAGTCCATTCGATCGGAGGTGAGGTTACTCAGGGTAAGCCTCAGGTTTGGGGATTCGACGCCCTGGTTCTTGTAGATGGCAAATTGGGAAACCACCCCAAACCCCAAAACACCAATCCAAACCACCAACTAAAGGGAAGCAGATGTTGTATCAACTGCCAGGAGAAGTGGCCTGTTTTCCCAATTTCCACTGAGCTTCTGAGGTAGGCCTTGCAGAGTCTTCAAACCCACTTAAGTAGGTGATAAACACGGTTCTACCCGGGGAAACTGGGCTCTCTTAGGACCATGGATTGCTAAGTGGATTGGACAGCCACATAGGAGGCAAGCGGGATTTGAGCTCTCTTCCGATCTCACAGTTTCCCGAGTTTCAGGTTTTGGAGTTGACGTAAAGCGTGGGGGGATTCCTTGGGTGTTGTGTGACCCAGTTGCCCCCACAAATGCTTACCTCTTAAAAACACAACTTTTCAACTTTTTGGGTAACATGGGCTATATGTCTGTAAAAGATTAACTTCCCCAGAGCTTGGAGTTTTAAGGGGTAAGAATGAGATGTGATCACCTTTTGGGGCCGCTAAAGATGGTTGCCAACTTGGGGAAGCCACGAGGTCGATGGATCCAGTCGATCGATTTGAGCCTGGCCAGTCGGCTTCCCGCTGATTGGAGTTCCGGGGTTTGCCCCCAAGAGCCAGGGGTTTCAAATCCGAACTTCCAAAGGTTGATTTGGGCAAGGGCGAAGGCTCACGCTTTTCTTCCTTCCATTTGCTGAAATGAGTATGTTTGTTATTTTCCCTGTTGGTTTTGAAGGGAATTTCTATCACTACTGGGGATATCTTCTCATCTTCTCGCGGTGGGCGAAAAAGCAAGTGGGCTGGTTTCCTGGTTTCATGGTGCCGGAACTCCATGCCGCAGCTTGACCCAAGACCTTTGGCACAGGTACAGATGCTGGCTGCCCTTCTGCCCCATCGAGCTGCACGTCTTGCTGGACGCGGCCCTGGCCGAGGGCGACGCCGAAGAGGAGCGAAGCGGAGCGGCGTCTTGCGGCGAAGCGTGGGGTCTGGCGAAGCCGTTTGCCACCGTTGAAACCATTGCCACGGTTGAAACCAGAGCGCTGGGGCTACACGTCCCTCCTCAACAGCCGCTGGAAGAGAAAGGGAGGGGTAGGAATGTTCAGCCATTTGGGTGTGTGTTGAGACCGCTTTTTCTTTGGTGCATTTTGCCAAGGGATGTTAGGACTGAATCACTTTTTGCTAGCTCATGGATTTTCCGTATTAAACCACTAAGAGTTATGCACTTTTAGCAGGGGTGCAGCAAGCAACCGAGGAAAGCCATGGTTGAAACCAGAACCTTTGGGATTTACGTCGGGGAATGGAACCATTCCAGGGCTTCTGAACGGTGGTGCGAAATGGATTTTGAAACCATCTTGAGCAACTCTGAACGTTGTTCAAAGGCGATCTTAATCCATGTTCGGGTTACGCCCAAAGCGAATCGACCTTTTGACCTTTTAGTCTCCCCGTTTTGGTTCATCTCTAGTCATGGCCCCAACAGGTTAGCCTGTTCATTTGTGGGTCCCTAAGGGGCAACTGAGAAAAACACATTTCCAGCCACTTCCAATAGCTACTGTGGATGGACAAAATGAATTTCGCACCACCCAAGAAGCCCTGGTTGCTGTTGATACCCTTGTAAATACCAGGGAGCCATGGTTTCTCATGGAAACAAAGTGGTGGAATTCGGTGGAATGGTGATTCTCCTGCAAATGCCAACAAATTATGGTTTCCCATGGTGAGACATGAATTTCGTCCATCCACTGCTATGAAGCGTCGGCGCTGGCCCTCCCGTGTCGCGGTGGCGCTTGTTGGACGCTGGCGCTTCTGAACTTGGGCGGGCTCGCCAAGATTTTGAGGACGCGGCGCAAAGGAGGGGTAGTTGTTCAAGTGAGTTACTTTTTTGGGGAAAGCCAGGTCTGCCATGCCAGTACCTGCTGGATTTTTGTGGGCAGACATCGCAGGCATTTGGGATGGTTTATGATCGGCTGAATGTTATCCCAGGAAGATTGGCTTTGAGATGGTTGTGCTGTAGAATCCCTACGAGGGTGGGGGGTAGGTCCCTAAACTTTTCGTGCGGAACCCCGCCCTTGGACCAACCCCCTAATTGTGCTGATCCATTTTGCAGCCAAGGGCTGCGATGCTCACAGCCCCCCCCCAAAAAAAAAAACCAACAGGTTTCTCGCCACACCGGGGAACAGGGCGCATTGGAGTTTGTCTTTTTTTGGTGTGTTGAGTTGCTTCATCAGGCAGAAGGTGGGACCTCCCCGAATCATACCCCCGAATCATACCCCCGAATCATACCCCGAATCATACCCCCGAATCATACCCCTTAAAACGTATGCTGCAAGATGCTACTGTTCTTGCACCGTTTTGTGTTGTTTTGACTGCCTCCACAACAACCACCACCAGCGCTACCCAATACTACCACTGCTACTACTACTACTACTACTACTGCTACTACCACTACTACTACTATTATTATTATTATTACTACTACTACTACTACTACTGCTACTACTACTGCTACTACTACTACTTCTACTACTACTATTCCTGCTGCTGCTAATACTACTGCCACTACTCACTACTACTACATACATCATTCTGAGTCTGTAATCAGTGCCGCTTTGCACCTAGCCGAATCATACCCGCGAATCATACCCGAATCATTCCCGGACAATAAGCTTCCCCTGCCAAGGCTAGTGCCAAGTCTTTTTCAAAGCGTTCACACCACTACAGCCTCTGCTGCTTATGCTGCAGCTGCGACCACTACTTCTGCAACTTCTACTACTGGTACTACTACACAGCTACTACCACATTCATCATTCTGAGTTTGTAATCAGTGCCGTTTTGCACCTAGCCGAATCATACCCGCGAATCATACCCGAATCATACCCGCGCAATGAACAAGGCCAGCGCCAAGGCTTCCGCGCCACTACAGTCGCTGCTTCTACTGTTACTACTACTACTACTACTACTACTACTGCTGCTGCTACTACTACTACTACTACTACTACTACTACTACTACTACTACTACTACTACTACTACTACTACTACTACTACTACTACTACTACTACTACTACTACTACTACTACTACTACTACTAACTACTACTACTAACTACTACCACTACTAACTACTGCTTCCTCGAATCATACCCCCGAATCATACCCCGAATCATACCCGCGAATCATACCTGCGAATCATACCCCGTACTCAATCCTTCCTGCCCGGCCCCCGTAAAAAAATGCAAACCCATTGGTCTTTGGATCTTATGGCTTCCTTTGGTTGGTTTTTTGGTTTTAGTTTGGTTTCGGTTCCTTTGGTTTGCTGTAGTTGTTTTTTTGGTTCCTGTGGTCACCAGATCATTCAGCCCCAATGGCAGGTTCGACCAACAATCCAAGGAGGGTATGTCAAGGTCAGGCAATGGCTTATTTTGGTTCCCACCAAAAAGCCATCCCACCTTGGGGAAAGGCTCGGTGTTCTTTTGGTTTTCCTCCGGTGCGAAAAAAGCCCACAAGCTTGCCTAGGAGTATGTGTTCAGCTCCCAAGCGGAGTGAATGGACCCGCAGGTGTCCAGCTCCGCCTCTAGCCAATACAGTAGGCTGATTCCGGGTGCATTCTGCTCAGTTTTTCAACCCGCCATGCTCTCTTGCAAAGATTCGGAGCCCTAGTGCCTGCAGTTAGCAGAGCAGAGCTTCCCCCTTTTCGACTGATGGTTTCAAGCATCGCCTTTGGGCCAATTTAAAGTGAGGGTCTGTGGGTCCTGCGATGTTTAGGGCGGACGTATACATGTGGGCGCAAGTAGACAGCACTATTCCCCATGGGCGTGTCTTTTTTCGGGGACCCCCCCGCAAGATGGTGGTTTCGAGCCAGGGTTGTGCACTTCTGTGATACAAGGGGCTCTCCCCCATTATATGGGGGGTTAGTGTCTAGGGGGAGCCCTAAAAACGCGGGCACCGAGCCGAGAGAAAAAATCTACAGGAGAACCTCTTACAGCTGAGCCCGCCCGCCTTGCAGGGGAGCCCAAGGAACAAGGCAACCACCACCTCCCAAAATGGGGGGGGGGAGGGGGGAAGGGAGGGTTTTGGAGTTCGTCTACAAATACTATAGATACTGAGGCAAGCAACCACTTGTTACTGCCTTTTATCCTGGTGCGTGGCATTGATTTCGTCCATCCGCACCTCCCAAAACCTCTGGTTCTGGCAAATGAAGCTAGCTGGCCCTAACCTCACCACCGGTGACCAAACCTAAGATCTTTTGGAGACCAAACCGGATTTCCTATTGAGCCTGTAACTGGTCGTTCTTTCCTTGGGGAGAACCAACCAATTTGGGAGGGAAGCTGACCTTAACGGCAAAGAACAAAGTTGGGTCACTTCTTTCACCGACCCTTTGGTTTCCCTTTTTGGCTTCCCATTTTTAGTGACGCCTCTCAGGTGATCACCTTTCATATTCCAGCTCCCTGAGGCGCAACTGAGTAGTTTGGCGCTGCTTACCTCCTGTTGGACTTTAAACTTTTTGGGTTTGGTTCATTTTAGTGGCCAACAAAAAGCTCGGCGACTTTTTATCGGGCCATCCACTCGATCGGGAGGTTAGGGTGGAAAACCCGAAAAGCCGAGGCGTGCCAGGCAGGTGGAGCGCTGGGACTTGCAGGCAAGGGGTGTTGGACTTCGTGGTCCGGGCTTTTTTAGAACCCTCCCAACCTTTGCGGTTTCAGCTCGTTGTTGAGACCAGCTCCTGTGATACCAAAGGGAGTGGCCTTTGCCATTTGCGGTGGGTTCAGGTTGTGGCTTTTTGCTTCCGACAACTCGACTTTCCTAGTGGGCTTGATTCACTTTTCTGGGTCTGGTTCATTTTGGTGGCAACCAAAAAGTGTGGTTACGCTTTGGGCCAGCTTTGGGCCAACGCATTCAGCAAGCGAGAAAGAACACAGATCGTTCGACCAACAAACATGGCATGGGGGTCTGTTTGCTAAAAAACGCCTCCAAAGAAGGGCTGAGCACTTCTAGGTTGGCTGGGAGGGGGGGTAGCCCGGGGCCTCACACATGAGGCAGGATCGGAGCAAGAGGCGTGCACGGGTGGATATTTGCGTGCATCCCAACATGCTGGTATGTATATACTGGCTACTGGCTATTCGCTTGACGACCTTGCCTGATGTCATGCACTCCATGGCCTATCTCATGAAATTTTGAGCGAATCCCAGTTCATTCTCCGGGATGGACATCCGGCCCTAGTTTCTGACGTCTCCCCGCCTTCAAGGCCAATATGAAGTAGTTGGGTGGGTGTGTAAATAAGTTGGGCGTTTGAGGCAGCTAGGGCCTCCGACTTCCATTTGCGTAAGCTCAGCATGCTTTAGAGGGACATGGGCAGGCTCTTGTTTTGGGATTCGAGGTCTCAGGCTCATTCTCAGATTGCATCACTGTTTGGTTTGGGTCCGCTTGTGGTCGGGCTGGTGTATATTCTGCTCTTGTTTTCGGCATTGGGCAGACAATAAGAACCAAAGGTGCGTGTGTCTCCATTGAGATCCTTTGGCTTGTAAGAGGTTGAACGAAGCATTTGGATGCAACAAGAAAGCCATCCACCTGCCCCCATCGGTACGCAGTCTAAATCTGTATGCTGTAGCCACTGTAGCCCCTGCCACAAAGAAAATCTGGCCACCGAGCTTAGGGATATTCAGCTTCGGGGCGTATCATCTATTGTCTAGATCGATCCCAGCCACCTCCCTCCGGCATTTTGTCCCTGAGGCGGATGCACGCAGGCGCAGGGTGGGGGGTTGGGTGGGTACCCCGAAACAAGCGGGTAATTTGGCATTTCTCAAAATAAGGGAGCCACAAATGCCGGTGTTGCTTCTGTTGTCCCGCTAAAGCAACCTGAAAAGGGTACCCTCAGCAAACACACATTCGGAGTAGGTCACAGAAATCCCGACTTTCCCACGGTCCTTGCCTTAGCCGCCAAGCCGCTAAGCCAGCGCAGGTCCAGCGTCGCGACGCTGTGCGCCAGATGGGCACAAGGGAGCTGACGCGACGCGGGGGGGCGGTTTGGGGCATGTTTCCCTCTAGACTTAGTGTGGGGTCTATGAGCCAAAGCTAGTTTAGATTTTAGGGTGGGCCAAATAGGAAGCATGACCTGAACCATGTTTTGCTTTGTGCACGTGTTTTGGCCAGGCAAAAGGTGACTTCTACGCCTATGGCGGAGTCTTCATTGGCCCTTTTCTTTCCCGGTTGGTTTAATTGACTTTTTTCTGACAACGAGCGCACAATGTGTGTGCTGTTGGGAGAAGTCCTAGCCTGCTTTTGCTGGGTGCTTTGATTTCGCGAAATCATGGGGTCCGGATGCGCCCTTCAATCAACATGGCCTTCCACTTGGGGGAAGTTTGCCTGCACATCATGCCTGAAAAGCGGGCACTCCCAGGGGTTTTTGGGCCTGCCTGGTTTTTAACGCACCGTTTTCCCGTGGGGCAAGCAGATGTCTTCGCTGATCAGAAGCCATCGGGAGGATGTTTGCCCCTATCCGATTCATCCCTGGCCAGAGAAAGGGAGAGATCGGACAGATGCCGCCTCTGCAAGCCCCAAAGAAAGGCTGTTCGCGAAATTGGGCCACGGGGTCATTGGGAAAAAGCCTCGCGCTTCTTCCCCTTTTCGACGGTCCCGAAAGACTTTTTTGGGAGTCAAGTGCGTCAAGTTTGCCTCGATTTTTTTGGTCGTGGGGCCTCTCGTTCTTTAGGCTCCCATCTGCTGCCAGGAGGTTTTGGCTCACTCCGCTTTGGGGTCCCGATAGGGCCCAAACACTCAGACCGTCATGCCGTCCATGCGCCAGGCCATGCGAGTCGGGGGTGGGGAATGGTGGGGTTCCAGAGCCCGGTTTGCCAAGCTGGTGCTTGGAAGGGACCTTTGCCTTCAAAGAGGGATCCTCCTGCAAGGCCTTTTGTCCTGGGCAGCTCGGAGGTCTTACTTCCTGAGGTGGCCCAGAGAAAATCTGAAGTGCTTGACTTCCCACCAAAAGGTTGGCCTCCAGGAACGACCACCCACGGTGAGTCGTCGGATATTCTGATATCATCACTCCCGCAGCTACCTGTCCAAAGAGTTCGAATCTGGCCACAGCGTTGTGCAAAGCCGTGCATCGAGACTTCCCAACTAAGCACCGGGTTTCCGGTTTGTCTGAGGGGTTGAGGGGTCTGCTTCTCTGACTAGGTCCCCCAGTAGTGCCCTTTTACCCCTTTTTTGGGCGAGGCTCCCCCTACTAAAATAGACTGGAGAAAAAAGTTGGTACCAACTTCTTCTAGCCTCTCTACTGGGTACCAACTTCTTCTAGCCTCCCTACTGGGTACCAACTTCTTCTAGCCTCAACCTACTGGAGGACCTAGCTGATGTTTCTCTGTTTCTCTGATTTCAGGCTTGTCTGAGGTTGTCTGAGGGGTCTTGTTGTCACATCCCCGGGATTCTCTCTCGATCGGTTTCATCGGACCCATGTTTCATCCGCATGCAGCATGCTGCCGCAGTGGAACCCGAGAAAACGCTTCCTTGGGTTTCTGTTGAAGGCCCCCCCCCCCCAAAAAAAAAAACTGACCCTCAACCCCCCCCCCAAAAAAAAAAAAAACATAGAAAAAGAAAGAAAAGAAACACAGAAAGAAACATGGCACCCTCCAAAACAGACGAGCCGCCCACAGAGGGAACCATTTTGGGCGGGCCCACCAGGTGCTGGGTGCCGCCGTGGTGGCGGTGGCTCTCCTTCAAGGCTGTGGAGAGCTTCTTGGGACCCTGGATCGCCAGTTGCTGTTTTTTTTTTCTTTCTCCAAGCACTTTACCCCAACAAATCAGCAACAGTGACTGCAAATCAGCACTTTACCCCAACTTGGCCATCTAGGTGGAAGGGAGGGTCGATCAGGCACCCGAATCGTGCCATGGATGCCACTCGCCAGGCGTGAGCTTCGTGAGCCCGAGCGGCAGCCCGAGCTACGGCGTAAGCAGAGGTCCCTGGGCCAGCTATGGCTCTTTCCGCGGCCAGGAGTCCAGGACCCGGATACCATTAGATAGACATGACAAAACAGCTTGCCAATTGGCTTGGTGGCAAGCCCGGCCATCCGGTTCCTTAGGTTTTGAGCTTTTTAGTTGGTTTTGTGGTTGGATTTCAGAATTTAACCCAAGGTTAAGCTTTTAACAGGGGATCTGAGGACAACCCAGTTAACCGCTTGCTTTTTGGGGCAAGTTGGCTTGGGGGTGTGAACTGGTTGCCAGACTCTAACCGATTTTTTGTCTAAACTTCTCCCCCAACCCCGGCAAGACTCTCTTCCGCCATCGGGATAGGGCCTGTCGCTTCGTGGGCTGCGGTTTCCAAGACAGTGGATTTCTCGCCTCCAGGCTGTTTCCGGATGTTGGAGATGGCCTTGTGGGCTCCAGACTTAAGGCCTTGGCAGTGTCGTATCAGCTTCGCCGCCAGCGTCATTCATTTTCATTTGGGAAGCGAGCCGTGGCAACGCCCGCGGCTTGCACTGTCGTCATCGGCCTCACCCGAGCGTCAACGCACCACCAGCAGCACCCCTGCGTCATCCGCGTCTTCGGTTGTCACCAGCATCACCCGCATCGCCTGCAAAGCCCCCACGCCAGTCCCGCGCCTTCAGCGCCCTCAGCGTCACCAGCGCCTTCAGCGCCCTCAGCGTCGCGTCTTTTGGGTCACAAGCCCTGTGGGTGCGCCGCATGCCACGGCCACAGGACCTCCGCGCCCTTGAGCCTCACGGCGGCGGCGGTGCTGGGCTGCGGGGCCATGCTCTTCCGGCGCCCCGGGTTGCGACGGTTTGGGTTTCATCCGCCAGGCAATCTGTGTGGAACTTTTCGCCCAACGTGGAACCGGAGCCACTAGGTTAGTTGAAGCAACCAGACCGTTTCTTTCCCTGCAAGGCATGCAAGGGCAGGCTGCTTGAAGCAAGCAAGCACGGGGTTCTCTGCGCAAGCTCGTGTTCATGCCTTGGGGGTTAAGCATTTGGGGGCACCAAGGGGGTGGGTGGGCGGTTCGGGGTTTTCATCCGAGGCGGCGCTCGGTGAGCTTGCGCCGCTTTGCGGAGCCCCAGCCGAGCCAGCCGAACCAGGTGCCTCCGGCGCCCTGGTTGCGCCGCGCTTTGGGGCGCGAGGGGCTGCTCGGGGAGGGGGGTCCCTTGTTTCGAAGGCGGGGGGCACCTGTGAAGTGAATCCTTGGCATGGGCTTGTGGTTGCCAACGACAGCCAGACTGTTTGGCAGGGGGGGTTGAAGTAGAGGAGGCACGTTGACTCCATTGACGTCCGAACCTGTTGCAATGGAACAATCTTCATTTCTCCTGTCGTTTGACTTGATTTCCTAGATCGCGAAGTTGCTGCTTTTTTTCAGTCACTGTTGCTGTTTTTTTTGGGGTAAAGTGCATGAACAAAAACGACAACAGCAACTGGCGATCCATTTTTTCCGGTTGAACCGATGCCATCAACCGAACAGTGATCAATGGGCCGGAGGTTTGAGCTTCAGACTTCAAGAGGCTGAACAGCGGAACAGCTTGGAAGGTGTGAGTGGTGGTTTGGATCGGTGGTTCGGATTTGGACTTTTGGATTTGAACCCCTGGTTCTTGTGGAGGGTACCCACCAATCCAAACCACCAATCAGAGGGAAGCTGAGAGAAAGCCGGAAGTAGATTGGGATGGTCTCATGCCTATGGGGGGGATGAGGGGCATGGGGGAATGTATTATTATTATTTTTGGGGGGGGTTGGTGTCACGGCATCGGCACCACCATCACGGGCAAGCTAAAGCAGACAAGTGCATCCTAGTAGATTCTTCCGCACTTCAGGTGAGCCACGTGCTCAAAGCCGATTCGGGTAGATGAAGGTTAGTAAGGGACGATCCCCTTGCCATAAATAGCTGTGGATATCCGCCTTCTTAATCCTTCACATGGTTCTGGGTTCACCATTTGTGTGCCGGGTTTTGAGCAAGCGGCTCAGGTGCGGATGCCGATGATCTCCACGGGCTCGGGCGCCATCGACGTGATGTCCAAGCTCTTACAGGACCGGATCCTCATGATGAACGGCCAGGCGCCTTTGGAGGGGCTGGGGGGGAAGGGAGAGTTCCAAAATGACGAGAATTCTTTTGGGTCATCAAAGTTTCTGGGTCCTGATGCAGAACTGGCGCAAGCTGGGCGGGGAGGGGGGGGGCCTTCTTTTGGTTTTGGCAAAGGTGTTGAACGAAGAGCTGTGCGTCACAGCCAGGGGCCGGAATGCATAGCTTTGACGCATGCCCCAGCAAGATCAGATAGCACACGTCCGAGGGAAAAGCTCGGTGGGCCTCGAAGCCCTTCGCGCAAAAAAACCCCGAGGACTTCCAGGACGGTTTCCTGCATGAACTTTCAGGGGGGCTTTTTGGGGGTTTGTGTGTGATGGTACAATAGGTTTTTGCAGCTTTGAACTCAAGCCAAAGGTAAAGCCCGCCATTTTTGGGCCCAGAACGAAAAGACGAAAGGATAATATTTTGGCTTCAACCCCTTAGAGGTTATAAGGTGGGATTCGCCACTTTGCTTGGAAGACGACGTCTCTTGCAAAAGTTGTGCGACGACTTTGTGCAGGGCGTCTACTGTAAATCCGGCCAAGATTGAAGGCAGCATTCCCCTCCCGACCACGACATGCAAGCTGCAAAGGGGTTCCTGGAAGGCATTTTTTTCCTTTTAATAGGGCCCCATTTGTGCAGCATACTATGTTCTTTCTTATTTGGGGCAGAGAGGCCACCAGGGCCAGAGAGGTCCACGTCGGCCGTTCGAAAAGGTGAACGACGAGATGGCCAACGTCTTGGTGGCCCAGATCCTGTACCTCGCGAACCAGGCTCTTTAGCCCGGGGTTGGGCTCACCGTTGTGAGGGGGACCTTTGTGACGTTTTGGGTTTGGGCCACCTGGTGGGAAAAGCAAAAGAAGAAATGCGAAAAAGAAAGGTCCTCTTGGTTGTCCAGTCGATGCCACCCTTCAAATGCTTGCTTTTGTTGATTGTAG